CGTTAAACAAAATGGTCGAAAAATCCTGCAAACGTTTTACCGGATATTTGTCGGGAACAGTTACACTATTTAATTTACGGTAGTCGCCACAGACCCTCCAGGAACCGTCTTTCTTTTCCACTAAGTGGATCGGGGACGCCCACGCGCTATTCGAGCGCTCCGCCAAATCCTGATCAACGAGATCCTGGAAAAATTCCTGCGCCGCCTTCAGCTTCTCCGGCGAAAGCTTGCGACAGGACTCTGAAACTGGACGACCTGTGGTAACAATCATGTGGCAAACCTTTGATTCCTCAAGCGGTTTTCTGTGCTTTGCATCGTATAAAGTGGGAAAACGCAACAAAAGATCGCGATATTTCTGGTCGGGCGATAATAATGATAAAGAAAAATTTGGGGACCGGATGCAATCGCCGGACGCGAAAACCGTGCCGTCGCGACGAAGCAACCGCTTGCCGGCCAAATCGATCAAGAGTTTAAAATCGCAAATGAAATCAGCTCCGAGAATAGGGTACGGAACGTGAGTAGCCACAAAGGTATGCACGAACGTCTCGGGCTGGTTAAACTGCAGCGTCAGATCATGCGAACCGTAGGTCTTCAGAGGCGATGCATCAGCTGCATAGAGCCTAAGGCTCGACTCGGTCGCAGACTCTACCAGTTCGCGGGGTATAACCGATACATCCGCACCGGAGTCAATCAGCAGGCTTAAATTACTGCATTTGTCAAAAACATAGAGTCTTTTAGATACAAGGGGTAAACTATTTACACACGGGGAAGATGGGGCTGTAGTGGCATCAATAGAAAGGCCCGGGTCAATGCACCCCACGATTGGCCCGGAAACTAGTTTTTTGGGTAGACCAGATGCTCCAACGGACAGGGGCGTACGCATTTTCTAGCCTGAACGTCGAACTTTGCGTGGTATACGCATAAAAGGCCTCGCGGCATAGGGTCATCGGAAACTCCAGGGGTAGGCGCAGAAACACCAGCAGCCGGAACACCCGGGCCGGCGACAGTCGTGGCTCCATCCTGGACGAAAACGTTATTTGAATTATTATTAAAATTATTTACAGAGTTTTGCTTGTGATTATTATTAGCGACATTCGGGTTAATTAAGCCAACTTGGCTGTTTGCCGAAACTTGATTATGGAAATTTGACTGATTATTGAAGTAATTTTGACTATTGTGTCCATTCGAATAATTATTATTGTTGAATCTATCTTGACTATTGAAAAAACTCGCGTTACTAAAATTTTGACTATTTTGATTGCTACAGAAATTTGCGTTATTTGAATTTTGACTGTTCTGACTATTAAGGAAATTTGCATTATTAAAATTTTGGCTGTTCTGATTATTTAAAAAATTTGCATTGTTAAAATTATGGTTATTTTGATTATTAAAACCCGGACCATTTGAGTTTTGAGACTGAGAAAAATTTTGATGCTGATATGCGCGATTGTATGAATTAAAGTTTCTTTTATTATGATTACGAGGAAAATTACCTCGACCAAGAGCGCAACGACTGCCGGGGCCCGCGCGGCCATCGCCGCCGGTGGGAAACGCCGACATCTGGAGATTATCATTACAAGCGCCATCATTAATAGATGTGCGCGACCTTCTATCATTTAGCATGACCTGAGTAAGAGTGTCAATGGACTTCTGAAGCCCCGCAAGAATCGCGTTTTCTTGCGCCGAGGAAGTAAAACTATTCGGGCCAGCGTCAATTTTATGAACCGACGGAAACACCTTGTCCGCCCCCTGCAGTCTATAATATATCTCGTCAGCGCGCTTGACATTGTCCCTCTCGTTTTCAATCGTTACTTCCGAGTCAAGGTGAACGGCAATGTGCGGTGGAAGCGTCAAAGACCACCATTTTAAAATCGCGTTTCTATTAAACAATTTATCACCCGATCCAACGAGAGAATCAAGGTAATCCGACGGCAGCTGATTTCGCGCACCCAACGAGCCGTCGCGAAATCTTAGGAACCTGGTCTTTTCATGCTCGACATATTTCCTCAATAAGAGCGATCGAAGTGCCTCATATTTATTGTTGCTCGGCAGGCCACGCATCGAATCACCAAGCTCCGCGATAACATCGCTGCCCAAGGAAGCTAGTGTGTGAATAAATTTATCATGATCAGAGAAAATGCCGCACGCGTTCAATTTTTGCTCGATAGTGTCCAGCCAAAGCTCTGGCTGTTTTCTCCAAAAGGCCGCAAACGAAAACGATTTATTCGAGGTAAAAGATGAAGTAAGCGAGGGGAAAAAACTTGACCTGCTTGGGGGATTAAAATTATCTGAACCGGCCTGGCTCGACGGTCGATCGCGATTCTCCAACGGGTCGAAACTCGAAAGCGGCGGCAAAACCTGAGAGGTCTGCTGGGGTTGGCAAGCACCACTTTGAGGCAGGGCGGTAAAACCTCGATAAGACGAAGCTGGGGACAAGTCTTCAGGAGTAGAAGATTGTAAAGAGTTAACCTGCAAGGTTACTCGAGAGCAGCTCATGGGCTGCTGATTTACGCAATGAGTATTAATTAAATCGATAAGGGTTGGTGCAGCTGCGCTGCTCACAGCAGCGACAACAGGGACCGCGGTATCCATAATATGCGCCGACGCGGAATTAGCAGGGTCGATCTGCGGCGGGACCGAGGGCGCGTCTGGGGGAGTCATGTCACAGTCTGTTCAGTAAGAGGAAAGAACAAGGATTGAAGGTACAGAAGAAATGATTATGAAAAAAAGAGGTCTATTGTAATGATGAGGGAATAAAAGGGAAAGAGGGAAAAAATGATTTAAATGGATGCGGCCTGAAAACCAAGCGAAGCAAGGTCGCGCGCCGACAGGACGAAGCCTTCAGCGTATGAATTTTTGCAATGAGAAAAAAAGCAAGAATAAATGAATGAAATGAAAAATAATGATTCCTATCAATAAGTTCAAACCCAAATCTCGATCTTAAAATTAATTAACGACCTTGGTCGTACAGACGCTATTTACAATAGTTATAGCGTAACATACACTCCACTCAACAGACATGCGACCGCACGGAACCGCAGGAACCGGCGTCGACTCACACGACGGTGACTCTACACTAATGAAAAGAACGCGTACAATGTATAAAAACGCAACGTCGAAACGCGGTTCTGATAAGGCAGCATAAAAAATCAAAACTATACGGTAGAGAGAAAGCTACTCAATTAATTGCAAAACTACGCTGACCTGTCGATTGAATAATTTAAGTTTAGCCACAGCTAAATGCTGGGTGTACAATCGCAAGGCAAAAATTCGGACCCACCCTACACGGCAAGTGTTTCTCTAAAACTCAGGCGTCGTTGATGTGCTTCCTGGTGAAAATATCAGCGCAATCAAAAATGCACGCGTGCACTACGCGCAAATCGCGCGCTGCGAAACACAAAATTAATCAACGCACGCTCAAGCGACTGCCGGTGTCTGCGCAGCGCTAACACGTAAAGAGCGTGTAAGAAAAACACCTAAAATTTGCCGCGAGACGGGGAACGAACAAGGGATGCGATGTATAAATTTGCTGCCAAATGCTAGCGATGATTAAGAGAGAGAAACAAAACTCTGCACAATATCCTCAGATAACTAGATCATACAGCAGTCTGTTTCGGAGTAAGTCTGTAGTGCGTAAGCTGCGCAACTACAGATTTCTATAAAAAAATAATAGTTAATTGAATCGTGTAAATAAGCCTGTAAATAGGGCGAATCGGCCCAAGGCAAATAACACCGAGAACGGCGTAAAAAAAAAAAAAAAAATGATCGAGCCTCTACAGGGAGTGATATGCACCCGCAATTCTCGAGCGAAGAGTACTGCTTCACTGCGAGGAAAAAAGCACAACACAGTCCGTTCAAGACTCGATGTTCGGCCGCGATAGCCCTGCTGCGTAGGCGAGAGTAAGGTGTGCCTCGTCAGCGATGAGCTGTGTGGGCCCAAAAATAAAAAAAGGAAAAATATATGCGCCACGCGCGTAAAAATTACTAGTGCTAAATTAATTGAATACGCCGCGAGCGTGAAAGCTGCTTGGGCCGAATTACTTATGTGTGCCGCGAGCGTAAAAGCTACTTGGGCGAGTTTAATCTGCTTGACAAAAATCTGTATAATCTATGAAATATTCTTATGTATACTGGTATCGTGTTTGTCAAATATAATTACAGATAACAAAGTCACGTATGTCGATAACATGTGCCACGAAGGGCAGAATTCAAAACAAAAATGGCAGGTTAGGCCAATAACAATGAATACGAAAAATAACAATCGGCGACAAAGGCCGTTATGATGTTATAAGTCAGAGTCGTATACGTCGAGAACGAACACAAAGGGGAATCTTTGTTTACTTCGCGCCGAACCTGTTGCAAGCAGATACGGCGACTTTGGAGCAAGTCAGCGCGCGCAAAATCACAACACTGGCCTGCGCATGCCAGCGATCAAATTCCACGAAGCGCTGCCCGATCACAATCGTTGCTTCGACGTTACGAAACGTAAACAAAGGTCTAACGAACTGTTTGAAATGTTCGAATTTTCTCGAATCTTAAAATCCGTTGCTATTTCGAAGAATTGAATCGCGTAATTATTTCGCGATGTTAATTTCAAATAATTTAATGAGAAGTATCCTCTAATTTCAGCGATTGACAATACTAAAATTAGCAAGTTACCGAAGCGAAACTCTGTGTGAATTGAAATCATGTACAGAGATAGCGGTTAAAATAAAATGATAATACCCGAGCGGCACACAATGCGACGTGACCGAACAATAATTCGCGAGAACTCCGGATTTACAACGCGAAATCACCCGGACACGCACACATACACACTCTAAATATATCGGACGACGTCGTCCACGAGGACTGTCGGCAGCGACACGCGAGACGCGTAAACCCGGACGTGTAACACGCAGGTGTTAGTTACGCATTACATGAAATTATCAACGCGCTCACGACTCCGAAGCTAGGCTAACTCGGCGACAAAATCTCGACCCGAACTCAGGGCGTCAACAATGCAATGCAGTATCACGATCGCCACCGTCGAGAAGAAACTTGCCACCAAGATCAAAAATATGAAAGGCAATAAAAGTGAAAATTTCGGAGTCGTGATGCGTATCGTATCGATATTTTTAGTACGCAAAGTACGCGATGGTTGCAGCCGGGAAAATAATAAAATCTTACGGTCGCGCGAATGCTCTCCACTCCTCGTAGGTGTAGTCCTCGATGTTGGCCTGGTAAAGGTGCTCCATCCGGTCGCTGCTGCGCGATGCTGTGCAGATGCTGGTCGACGACGTCCTCTCGGAGCAAGCCGGACTGGTGTTGTCGTTGCCAGCGAAACTTCGACCCGCGCTGCTACCGGCACGATGACAAGATGGCCGCTGATGTAGCTGTAGCTGCTGCTGCTGCTGTGGTCGAAGTTGTGTCCGTTAGGAAGTCGTCCGCCTCGTCGCCAAGGCCTGCTGCAGGACGCAGAGCACAACTCGCAAAGATGTGATGCGAGGAAAAGACACAGCGCCTGAACGGGAAAAAAAATTTAGGCCGCTGCGCCGAACAAGCCTCCGACCGAGCCCGCTCTTGCGAGATTTTCTCCTCTCGATGTCGCCCGTCAACTTGAAAAAGTAGCGATTTCTCACCCTCGGAGCTCGAAGATAACCTCGCGGATGTCGGCTGATCACCAGTGTGGAAGAGTACTCGATGAAATACCCCGGCTGACTCCAGCAGTTCCTGGGGGGCGACGAGTCCACACTCTCGTCGCAACGTTGCGTGTTCTCGATGTCCGCGTGGCAGAGAGCGAACGAGCGAGAGAAATATTGGGCAGGAGAAGGAAAGAAAAACCCGAACGAACAACAAAGTACTGAGTGACTCGATTTATTGTTCGGCTGACGATGATACAATTGGAGCGAACGGGCAGAGAGAGGCTAGGCCGTGCGCTCGCTTCAGTGGTCGGATACTGTCTGGCCTCTCGCTGCGCGGCCCGACGCAGCGGCCCGGCAGCGAGAGGGGGTTCGCGCCGCGCGCGCCTACCGGCGCAGAGGCGAAGCATTATGACACGACGCCACACTGACCACACCGGTGGCAACACGACCTGCGGTCTGGGCCCGGGGATCGAGCTGCCATGTGCCCCGGCTCCCAACACCGGTAGCATCGGCGAACCATGCTCTTTTCGCGGATGCGGCAGTTGACCCATCCGATCCGGATGCGCCCCAGCTTATGCGTCCTAGCTTGTGTGTGTGTGTGTGTGTGTGTGTGTTTTTTTTTTTTTTTTTTTTTTTTTCTACTCCACCCCATTCGGACACTCACCGGTATCCGCCGTTAGGCATTGCTTCGGTGAGGCCGGGGTTAGTTGAGCATTTCTGCTACTCCTGTTAGTCGTTGTTTTCATACATCCCCCATCCGTCGCATATAGTGATATGCGACGATTAGGGGTTCAGGGACTCATCTTTATCTTCTTGGTGAACCTCCGATCCTGCACGATGCCGTCAGCGATTGTCGTACCCCTTTTTTCAGAGCCGTCTGCGTGGTCACGCATCGCTGGCATCTCCTCCTGATTTGGGCCTCTCTTCTTAGGACTCGCTGTCAAGTGCCATCTTGTGAGTGTGGTTCTCGCTTTCCGGCGCTACCCTGTGAGTGCTCCTCCTTTTTCTGTTGTCGTCTTGTGAGTGTGGTTCTCGCTTCAGGCGCCGTCATGCGCTCCACCAGAGCCTTGGGTCTCGCATCCGGCGCCCTCTTGTGAGTGTAGTTCTCGCTTCCGACTTCATCATGGGAGTGGTGTGCTCCATCTATTGCCAGCATTGTGAGTCCTCGCCTCGGGCTCCTACTTATGGTTGTCCTATCGCTTCCAGCTCGCACAGTGATCGGGGTTTTTTACCGCTTCGGAGGCTGATGACATAGCCCGGGTCTTCTTTTTGAGTGGTACCCGCTCCACCTCAGGCACAGGCTCGACCACACCAGGCGAAAAAACGAACCTCGAAAATTCGTCCGGTGGGGATCGAACCCACGCCCTACGGCGTACCTTGTATCAGCAGGCAAGAACTATACCCACTGAGCCAAGGAGGCCGATGAGTGTGTGTGTGTGTGTGTGTAGAGCATTATCTAGAAAAGGGTTCGGTGAATCGTGTTGAATTAAATTTTATTTTTTGTCGAATGTATCCATGATAAAGCTCATAAAATTTTTTTTCAACTAACGGAGAAAAAAATTTTGAAAAAATACATTTTTTTTTTAAATTAAAAAAAAACTTTTTCCAGTTTATCATATGATTTAATATTTTTAACTTAATGGAATCATTAAAAAATTGATTAAATAAATACTCAACACACTTTTTTCTTTATTTTTTTATATCCTTCAAAAAATTTCAAAAAAATTTTTTTGGTCCTGAGACTATAACAAAATCTGGAAAAAAGCCATTCCCTTAATTCTTTAAATAAATCTTTGCTCTTTCTTCATTACAGAGAGTCGAAGTGGCATCTTTTTGTTTAGAGCGTGAAATAGAATCTTTCTGCTCTGTGGAACGGCATTTTTCAGCTTTGATATGGCGATTTAAAAAATTATACATTTTTTTTTATGTTTGGGAAATCTGTACTTGTCGCAAAGGTGATTACGCGGATGCGTGCTGTTGAATTTCAGGATGACAGAGCAAGTCTATTAAATTCTAATAATAGCTGTAACATGCAAATCATAAAGAACCTCTATCTCGTTTGTAATTTATGTAGAGATCCTGGACAAAAGTATAAGTGATTGCTCGATCATATTGCAGGACGTCATCGGATGGTCATTATTGCCTGTATAGTTTAAAAATATAATTCCGCCGTAGGGAAATATATTATTGCTGAAATATTTTGGCATATATAGGTCTGATTTAAAAGTCAACTGTTACTTTTCCAGGTCTTACAAATTTAGATTCTTTGGTTCTTGCTCATAATAAAATCCAAAAAGTACCAGCTCGGGCTTTTGCTCGTATGACTCAGCTAAATTCACTTGAATTGGAAGGAAATATGATAAATTTCATTGATTCAGATGCATTTATTGGATTAGAAGGTAAGATCTCAATTCATAAGGCTAAGTTAATCAATGGCGGACCCGTATCAACAATTATTATAATAAAATTTTTCAACGATTTTCTCAGTAAAATTTTTTTTTCTCTCTCTTTCACTTCCTAAGAAGTCCTGCAGGAGGCTATATGGCCCGTGCGCAGTTGAGATTTTTACTAACCCCCTCCCCCTACTGTCTCGCATTTGCCCAGGCCCAAGGACCTGTGGAGCAAGGGAAACCTGGGTGTATACGTAAGTGCTTATGCACTACACCCTCCTCCTCTATCCTGCAGAAAAAACCCACCCCGAGAGCTTCTTCAACTTGCCAATACTTTTTTTGGACATGGATGTTTGAAAGCTTTCAAAATACCAGGAGGTCTGCATCGAGCTTGGTGGATGGCTAAAGCTCTATATACATTGAAGCTGTTTCTCTTTCGCAAGCAGTTATTATTGACAGCTGAAGATAACACAAACCTGGAAAACATGTCCCTTTTTATAGTTTTTATTTACATCCCCTATTGGTATAAAACTAGATTACCGCTCGAAGCTGCTGTGAGTAATATAAAACTTCTAAAAAAACTAGATGGTTTTAAAAAAATTAACTCAAAATTAGCAACAAAGATGATAGACAAGTTCAGAAAACACTTATGGTATATTTCTAAAGATCTCATATATATTTCACTTTTCAATGAGAATATTGAATGTGTAGAAAAAGAAAAAATGGTTAAAAATTTTAAAATTAAAAATGATAGTGAACGACAATTAAAGGCTACAACTGACAAGAAAAGTATTCAACAACTCACCTTGTCTCAATGTATTACTGAAAAGAGTATGAATTTTTTCAATATCACTGGAATTTCACCATCATTCCTCAATGAACATCCGAGTACGTGGGCCCAAAATAAAGATTATATAAATAGACAAGATCTTTGTAAAAAATTGCAAGTTGTAAATGATGTAGCAGAACGTGCGGTTGCGCTGTGTAGTAAGTTTGTTGATTCTTTGACACAAGATCCTGACCAATGGCAAAAACTATTGTTAAATGGTTTTTTTAACAGAAAAAGTACACCCTGCTCATAATACAGCTGTAAATAACTTTATGTTCTTGCAATAACGTTTTGTAAATTTCCATTTTGAATTTGAAAAAAATTAACACCAAGTAAATTTTCTTATATAAAGTACAATTCTCTACTTGTAGAGACTAGAAGTCATAAATAGAACTTATCTGATCAATAACTTCTCGAATCATTTCAATGCCTTAATCCAAAATCTGAATCCAAAATGTTTGTATAAATTAAAAACCTTTAACTTCAATGAACTTTTAATTCACAACTTGTGCCAAGGAAGATGTTGCTATAACCTCGAAGCCAAGCTATCAAAAGAGACAGGCGACGCGTGATTAGTCTTCCGGTCGTGGCATGTGACTGCAGCACGCGGCACGGCGTGAGACATTTGAAATTATTTCAGCATGAGAAAATAATCCTTGAGACTCTTTATGATTCGTTTATTTAATAGTGTGTACAAAAAAATCGAATTTTTCATTCGCTGCTTCGCAAGCGAATAATCGTCAATTTTAGGATGATTTTTAGAAAAAAAATCGAAAACTTGCGATTTCATCAATTAAAATAATTTTTTAGACTAAAACTAATATTCTCACTCGACTGTACTAAAAAAACCTAAATTTTAACGTAACCTGCATATCTTTAGCATTTCTTATACCCGTTTTCTTATCGGTTTTAAAGAGAATTTACGAAAATTTTATGTGCTTAGATGTAATCAAATCGCTCAACTGACGTGACCAGTGAATTCTGAAGGCGAAAATACATAAGAAAATGTATTGTCTAAATTAATCATAGCGATACAACTATAACTGGCAAGCTATCGTCGAGCTTACGATCTCCACATAATTTCGCCTCACGTTTTTAAACTTTAAAAATATATCAATATTCTGGATATTCACTTTTCAATGTACTTTTTAAAAGTACATAATTTGAGAAACAATTTTTTTTTACCATCACGCTAACTATGGCTTAGCCCATATATATGTGTCAAAATAATACTTTTTTACAAAACCGTGCGCACGTATGTCACCGATCTTGACGTGCTTTTCGTATGTTATAGTACATGGTAAAAAGGTCAAAAAAAAAAATTTTAGACCCCCTCCCCCCTCCTGCCCCCACTTCCGGTATAAACGTCCACTTTAGATCTATTTTTTCTGAGGACATAAAGTGATTCAAAAATCTGAAAAAATTCATAAAAATACTTTTCAACAATCCAAACAACACAAGTGCTTCAGGCCTTCAGATAAAATCATTAAAAATTCTGAAAATCGAGATACGGCGATATGAGCCGATATAGTAAACGAAAATTAGTAAACGGAACCATCGGGTTCTAGGAACTGTTTTTTGTTAAAAATAGCATTTTTCAGCCCTAGAAGCTATCGCCTTCAATTAAAAAATCTGAGCTCCGTACCGTCCTAAAATAATTATTTTCGTTGAAAAAAGCGGTTTTTGGCTTCAAAAAGTGCGTTAGGTCATTTGAAAAAATCTGAAAAAAATTGAGGAAATGTTTTTCAATGCGATAAAAAACTGAAAAAATTTTTGTTTACTATATCGGCTCATATCACCGTATCTCGATTTTCAGAATTTTTAATGATTTTATCTGAAGGCCTGAAGCACTCAAAAAAACCGAAAAAATTTAAGGTTGTTTGGATTGTTGAAAAGTATTTTTGTGAATTTTTTCAGATTTTATAATTACTACATGTCCTCAGAAAAAAAATAGATCGAAAATGGACGTTTATACCGGAAGTGTGGGGTAGGAGGGGGGAGGGGGTCTAAAATTTTGTTTTTGGGACCTTTTTACCATGTACTAGAACATACCAAAAGCGCGTCATGATCGGTGACATACGTGCGCACGGTTTTGTAAAAATGTATTATTTTGACCCATATATATATTAGACCGTGCCGTTTTTGCAAAAAGTTTTGGTATTGCCTGGGCTCAAGGCTGAGCTTAAAGTTTAGGGTTTGACATGAAAAAAGCCGTGCCCAGGAAGCCCAAAAAGTAACGGGAACCGGTCTCGATATATTTTTAAAGTTTAAAAACGTGAGGCAAAAGTATTATTTTGAACCATATGTATATTTCATTAAGAAACCTAATTCGCAAGACTTAGTATATCTAGACGCACGCTTGTTTTAGACTTTGCCACCTGAACGCTACAACCTAATGATACTTTGTTAGTAAACCTACGTACTAATTTCTGCCTATCTAAACGCTTATGGAGAGGTTACGTAAAAATATCGTATATATAGTGTTACGTGGGGGATAGGAGAGGGTGAATAATAAATAATAAATGCTGGAGGAATTACTGGTTAAATGGCCAAAAAGGGGAAGAGAGAGCTCATGCATCGACTTCGAACCTTAAACGAGAACTGCCTGGGCTGTCGGCATAGGTGGCCAATTGCCACTTGAGCCGGTCGCGAAGAAAGGAAGTCACGAGGCGCGAAGTCAGCAATAAGCATGCTGATGCTTCGCGGTTCCCAGTGACAATAGCAATCTGAAAAATTCACTGCCACTTGCGAGTTCCGCTAAAAAATACTTGTTCGCTATCTAGTGTCGATTTATCTATATGAATGATTGTAAAAATGAATAGATTCTAGGTTCGTCAATTGAATAAATGATAATGTAGGAGTTAATTCTTGAGGGGTAACACCACTCTAGGATTTTCAAAAAATCGATTTTTTTTTGCATAAAAAGCTCCCTTAGGGTGTGTAGAATGATGCCTAATTAGTTTTATAAGGGAGACGAAGTTATAAGATGCTTAGTTTTCAATTTGAGTGAAAGGGTCTTTACGATCATATTTTCGAAAAATCAGTGAATTTCAATAAATTTTTTCTATTTAAACACTGCCGCTAAAATTTCATGTAAGTACATTATTGTACGAGTGAAAAGTAGCTTTTAATATGTAAAACGACCTGTAGAGGTCGCAATTTTTTCTCCAATACTATGAATTTTCACTAGCCAACTCACAAGGAGAGCCTTTCATGTGCGGGTCACAGATCCTTACCAAACTTGTTTGGGGGTCTTCTTGTACATAATAATGAAACCCCCTACGGTTACTTCATTCCAATGGGCCCTGGAAACCATTATAAAGCCACATAAAGTATATATAATATAATATAATGTTTAAAATACCACTGATTGGTATCAGGCCTTGTACGGTCAAGTCTAACTGTCTCAAAAATATTTTTACATGAACCTTTATGGATTCTAAATACTTTTGCAAATAATAAACAATTGAACTCAATTGGTTTGCTGTGTATGTTTGAAAGAGCGCACCAATTTGAGCTAAAATTAACGTACCAAACAATAAATATTGATGTAAATAATATGAAAATGTTTTTTATTTGTACAACTCCCTTCTCTTCACCTATTCCTGACACTCATCTGGAGTGAATTTACATATGTTTTGAGGGCCAGAAATAGGTGATAAAGAAAGAACAGTAAGTTTTATAAATGAAAACATTTTTACATGATTTAATATAAATATTAGTTGATAAATGCATAAATTTTAGCTTGAATTGATTCGCTCTTTGAGAATTTCAGTAAACCAATTGAGTTAAATTATTTATTGATTGAAAAGGTGTTTTGGACTTTAAAAACTCCAAGTATAAATACTTCTCAATCAGTTAGACTTGACTGTGTAAACCTGATATTATTATACGTTAATATATGGTATTTTATACATTATATTATAATATATTCTTTATGGTGCTTTATAGGGGTTTCCAGGGCTCATTGGAATAAAGTAACTATAGGGGGCTTCATTATTATGTACAAGAAGATCCCTACACAAGTTTGGTAAGGATCTGTGATCCGCAGATGAAAGGCTTTCCTTGTCAGTAGTTATAAATGATTTTTGAGAGTACCACGTGTTGGAAAATTATCTAATAATTATACTCTCGTAATTCGTGCGATATACTGTGATAATGAGTAACAAAAAGCGCCCTT